AACGCCTTACATGCATTCCCGAGTTTTACGATTTTCCCTTGTAAAGTGAGGGCACGGCTTTTACCCAAAGGATCGAAAAGCCGATGAGCAGGTGGTCACACTGACTTTCGTAACCATAGACACGATAAATTGCTCGATGTTCAGCGACTCCTTCCTTGACGTGCGCCAGGCACTTGACCCACGCTCATGATCACAGGAATTTTAACCCGCAAATCAGTCGATGTATAAGTCAGTTCTGTTCTGAAGCTTTCGTTACTTAAGCGATCACGTGTGCTCGGTTAGCCTGGAGGAAGCTCGATAGGACCAAGTTAACCGAGCACATACCCGATCCGCAGACCTTTCAGTAAGTTATACGACTAGGCGCCCGATAATCGTGATGCCTGCCACTATCAAACTCGAATAGTCTTTTTCCGTCTTACTGTTCCAGCTCTATGGATGAATGTGTTAGCGAGTGAGGTTCAAATGGTAGGAATGTCAGTGAAAAGCTGCTGCTGAAGCACCGAAAAAGGACGACTTATTTTGAAGAAATTGTCACTGTATACACATCCTTCAGGCTACCTCAGGTCCACTGACCAAAAGTCAATGATCGGACTAGCCTCACTGAGAAGGTCCCTCCTGCGGATGACTCCAACTATAGCGGATGCGACAACTTAGCATCTATAAGCACCTCACTACGGTGCTAGGTGCCTGATTTAGAACCGCCGACGCTCGGTCGATCCGCATCCGCAGACCTTTCAGTAAGTTATACGTGTTCACATTGTTGATCTTCGTGCTCCCTCGATCCGATGCTATCTCACGCTTTCTGCGCATCATCTCTTTCTTCGCTGTCTGCTTCTCAAACTTCTCTGCAGCATAGAACAAGTTCGTATTTTCTGTGTTTCAGGCAATATTTATTATACTTGTTTCTTCTCTCTATTGTGGTCCATTTTGCATTCCTACTCCACATTCGACGAGCATTTCCATAACTTAGCTTCTGATACTGTTAGATGAGAAATCACCTGCTCTAGATTCTCAGAACGCGTAGTCCTCCGAAGGTAGTGGGAATAAGTAACAGGTGAATCCCTCCGTCGAAATTAAATGAATGGAAAATCTCCATCACATCGCCCTTGTCAGATTACGGAGGACAACTCTTAGGCCGCCATGGCGATGCACGTGACATAAGTATCCATGTATCTATTACTATAATGGATCTAATCTTCAATTTCTTAAACAATTCTCTAAATTGAGTGACAAAATACGCTGAAGCGGCTTAAGAGCTGGGAGAGGTGAACGGAATCGCGGCATGTGACACGTAGATAAGAACATGGGTCGCAAACGTGATGAGGGATTCGCGTTACAGTTGAATCAGGCAAGCGTTGTGAGCAGCAATGTTGGGGACATGGGTCGTTAGATCCTTGAAACAATTTCCACTATAAAT